CTCGGGCATCTAAGGGTTAAAAAGGTTACGTTATGGAGAAAGAGGTTGTTTACGAACATATTGAGTCATAGTTATCACTTGCCCTGCTTCTGATTTGAGTTTGTTTCATGCGACTTTCCAAACAGACTTCAGGGGTTGCGTCTTGTCTCCGGAGATCGTGAGGATCGGGACGAAGGCAGACGGCTGGCGGGAATCCCTGAAGAAGTGCACAGACGACCAACTGGACCTGGTCAGCTTCCCCGAGACCATCCTCCAGACACAAATCAGCAACAAAGTCTTCCAGGCCAACACAGACAACCTGCAGGAGGTGTGGATCGGCATGCGTCGTAGCTCCATGTCCGGGGAGTGGTACTGGCTGAACGGGTCCACGGTCGAAGACACCAACTGGGAGAAAGGGGAGCCCGGCCCGGTGCATGACGGTCAGTGTGCCATCATGAGTCTGGAGGACGGCTTTGGCTGGAGGGACGAGGACTGCTGCAAAGCTGCACATCCTGTCTGCTACAAAGAACCCGTCTTTTTTCCCGTTGAGTAAAAACCGCATGGACAAAACTCATCCATACACAATCCACTGGTGTCTGAACCAGTGCTAACGCCAGATTAGCTGCTGATACTTCTCATGCAACCCAGTCTCACGGCATTTCGTGTTATAGTCATGAAATGTAATCTATTGATTCGTGTGTACCAACATGATTTCTCCATTTTTTCCGTGTCACACAGAACGATTTTAAAAGCAGTGTATTTATATTGGTAGTATGTTTCGGGCCTGCACCAAAGAATAACAAATTAGAAGGAAACAAATATTTAAAAAATACAGATTTCAGTATTCTGAGGCTCTGAGCCCCATTTCTTTTCCCGACATTATACAATTTAAAATAAAATCAATAATCGTGGCTTGAAATAGAGTGGCGAAGTCCCTCCCACTTACTTCCGGGGTATGGGACCTTATTCCGGAAAAGTTATGCATTGAAGTCAATGGGGAGAGAAAACTTATCTTTCGATCCCGTTTGAATTGTGCCATGAATTACACATATGATGTTTGTCAATCTTAAAAAATCATTTCCATGTCAAAAAAGTCACAGTTTGTCGTAAAACTGTTGAAATATAAGACTATGAAAAATACGTAACTAGAAAGACTACAAATCCCAGAGTCGCGTGAGTAAGTCACAATTGTTTTCCTCCACCATTCAGATAGCTAAGATCAGCGCAATATAGATAGAATCTATCTATATGGCGCTGGCTAAGATAAGATAACTTTAACAAGATGCCTGTGTGCTTAGTACCAGGTTGTTATTATACCAGCAATGGGTCTTGCTCGTTCTTTTGCTTCCCGTCTGATGAAAGGACCAGGAGTGGCTTGATCAAGTTAGCTACCTAGCTAGTAGCTAGCACGTTAGTTAGCATTACAGCCTTGTCATTTTTATTAGCCTTAACATGAAGTAACATTAAGTAACCCAAAATGTTAAACAGTAAGAGTAGTAGTCATATTTCGTGAACCCTTTGAATAGTACTGTCACCGGTGTGATCATTCTATAATACACCATTTAATTCCGGGGGAGAAATGCTAACGCTAACGTTAGCATCGGCGATCTTTTCTACTTCATGCTATCTGCACAAATGGTTGACATTAAACATTAAAACGACCAGGCAGTTCAGAGAGAATCAAAGGAAGGCAGGCTTTGCATGACATTCTTCAGGACGTGTTTCATTGTGGTGATAGTGAGGGTAGTCAATCGTTTGTTGACAAGACAGTAGTGACGGCCATCTTGGTGACGTGTGTGGTTGACCAGAGATGTAGTTCATTGAGCCTTTCACACAAACAAATGTGTTACTTCACAGTTTTACGACAC